GCCTTTATCCGAAATTGAGGCATGGTTATTTTGCTTAATTACAATAAATAAAGGTGTGTTATTTACATTTCTGTCATGATGATATTATATGATATGCTGCCATAGCTCAAAAAATCTTAACAAATATTCAAGAATTATTTATGTCACGATTTGAAAGTCGTGTTAAAAACGAAGGTCTTGAATCTTTTGAGAAGATTATTCCCCGTAATGCCAATACTGAAATAGTATGTTAAATGTTAAGTTTCTTTTCATCTTGACGGTTAAATCACTAATAAATTATTTAGGTTCCAAATGTCTACACTGATGCGTTGCTTAAAATATTGCTTGAAGTACGCAATATGTATAAAAATATGATTGCCACTTTCCAAGGTGAAGTTAAATTTAATGAATCAATAAATAAAGTAAGTAGCAATTATTGATATATTATTTGGCTTTAATATTATAATTAATAATTATTCTCATTGCCAATACTGAAAATTGGGGTTCTGATTTTAAAATGTAAAAAAAAAACTTAAAATTTTTTATTCATATAAACTTAATAAATCGGTTCTTATAACAAAATTTTTAAAGGTGATCCCGGCTTTTAATTTTATTTTCAAAAAATTTTATATTTAAAAAACAAAATATTTTTTATTGTTATTTTTAAAAATGCTTCCGGATAGTAAATGTTTTTAAAGTTTTGTGAAATTTGACCCGGATGAGTTATGAGAACCGATTTATTAAATTTGTATGGATTAAAAAGATTTAAATTTAGCATGAATCGATTTAGAATTAACCATAATAATTTATTGATAATAATTATTAGGCGTTCAGAGAAATTGTAAATCGCAACCACGTTTGCAAGCCCTCGACGAGTAAATCTCCAGAATTATTAGCTCGGTTTTGTGATTCTTTACTTGGAAAGAAATCTGAAGAAAATGATTTTGAAACTGATCTTGATAACATTGTAAGTGATATTTAAATATATATTATAGTTCATATTTCTACTATTTATTAAATTTAAAATTATTCATTTAGATAACTATATTTCACTTTGTGGAGGATAAAGATGTTTTCAACAAATTCTATTCAAAAATGTTGGCAAAACGTTTAATAACTGGGAAATCAGTATCAGATGATGCAGAACATAGCATGATCAATAAATTAAAAGTTGGGTACAATAAATATATATATGAATTTTAAATTTAATTAATTAATTATTATCTTCATTTATTATAGGAAGAATGTGGCTTTGAATATACACGAAAATTTGGTCAAATGCTTGCTGACATAAGTAAAAGTAAAGATCTCAATAATAAATTTAAAGAATACTATTCTGCAAAAGCTGATTATCAAGGTAATTAAATTATTTAGAAATATATTTTAAAGTTGTTTACTTTTAACTTTTAAAGAGACTTATTTGATATTTTTATACCTTTAGATAATGTTTCTTTTCTTATTTTGAGCACTAGAAATTGGCCTCTTCAACCATTACTAACAAACTTCACTATACCAGAAGAAGTAAAAAATAATATAAATCATTGCTTTATTTTGATATATATATTATGTATTAACATTCTTTTCCAATACTAGCTTGAAAAAGTTTATGAACATTTCAAAACATTTTATAGAATTAGTCACTCCAAACATAAACTTAATTGGTTATTCCATCTTTCAAATGGTGAATTAAAGGCTAATTATTGTAATTCAAAAAAAACAGGCTATATTTTCATGGTTGTTAAATCACAAACTCTTAATTAGTTAATTAATTGGTTGTTTCCTTTAAATTATTTTATTTATGCTTTTTACTCAATTATTGCATTATACTTTTAGGTATCCACATATCAAATAAGCATTCTTTTGCAATACAATAATGATAGTTCATATACGTTTGAAGAATTAATGCAAAAAACAGATCTAAATAACTGTTATTTGACTGCTATTTTAAAAAATCTTGTCCGACAAAAAATTCTCAAATTAGTGATTGGTACTGAAGTTGGTGATCCTTCATCTCGTTATGAATTGAACATGGATTTTAAAAGGTTTATCAATATTTAAATACATTTAACCTTATTTTTTACTTAAATTTTTAAATAATTAAAACTTTATATAATATACTAGCAAGAATTATTGTGTTAATTTAAATATTCCAATTATACCCAAAGAAGATGAAAAAGAGAAAATCTATAAAGATGAAGATAGAATGTTTATAATGCAGGTTTGTAAATTTAAATTAATTACAATAGTATATTTTTATACTAGCCAAGAATTATAAACATAATTCTATATATATTCATATAGGAAATCATTATTAGAGTTATGAAATCTAGAAAAACTTTGAATTATATTAGTTTGGTTAATGAAGTGATTTCAGAAGTTTCTAGACGCTATAATTTCAAAGTTAAGATACTTAATCTTAAAAAATGTATTGATATTTTACTAGAAAAAGAATATATTGAACGTGTAGAAGGAATGAAAGATATGTTTCGTTATGTACCTTAATGATTAGTTATATGTTGTATATGGATTTTTTTCCTATCGATTAAGAATCATTTAAGTAAATTAAGATTTTTAACTTTTGTGGCAATGGAATTTTACAAAATAAAAGAATTTGATGACAAAGCTTATAACTAAACATTAATTATACAACTTATAATTATTGTATTCTCTCATTGTACTAATGATATCTAATGAATAATGAAACTTTTATCATTAATGAATGACAAAACCTTTCGTCAAACTGATTTTTAAATGATAAATTGATGATTAATGTATACATGTCGTAGAAACTATTTTGGCACAGAAATTTATACTAAAAATCAATGCCCAAATACTTTCGGCAATGCCCAAATAGTTTCTACGACGTGTAAAGATTAATAAAATCTATGATGATTTATAAATTTTGAAAACTGTGCGGGTACCTTATGATAAGCATGATATTGTATAACAAAAAAGTATAAACAATTCGAAATTTCACTGAAGTTTTAAGTAAAACTTTTTAGCAAGAAATTTTAAATACTAATATCCCATTCATAATTACAAAATAGTTTACGAAGCCATTCATAGATTAGTGAAAAAAATTTCTTGCAAAATTTTGGTACAGATCTGATCGGTCAATATGTCGATCAATGAAATCTGTCGATGCTACTGAAATCTATGATTCTAACAATATAGTTAATTACTGTATTGAGATCACCATGCATTGTATTTTAAACCTCATTTGAAATAAAAGTATATAAATTTGTATAAGAATAATGATAGGTTAATAATAATAACAATAGGAAATAGAAAATATTTTAGCAAAACTATACCCAACAATTGCATAATTAGCAAGAATCTAAATAGGATGTTTGAGAATATTATTATTGTTAACTAGCAATGTTACCCAAACTTAGGGATGTTATAGTCTGGCAGGACCATAGTTTGAACCAATCTAAGCGTTCTGTGGTCCATAAATTGGGACAAGTCCAAATCAGTCTATTTATAATAAATTCTGCGATTACATAATTATTTATTTGCTTAAAGGGAGTTAGAGCTAAGTGCTGTATTTTTGTTTTATCGGTATATTATGTACATAATAGAAACTATAATTTTGGATAAACATTTATTTAAGTTAATGAATCTTGAATGAATAAATAAGATTTTATATTGAATAAGACAGTCACGCAAAATAAGGAACAAAATATTATATTCATATTGTTCTTGGTAGATCCGACCCTAGGACCATGAGGAAACGTTGCGTAACAGCCCACGATTTGCACCACGAAAAACCGTCGTACCACGATGCCCGCAACCCAGGACAAATCAAGCTCTTCATTAAGTGACGGCACCGATCCATTGAAGAAAAAGCCACCACCCGATTTGGAATACAACTGTCAATGTAATATTACCTTGACAGGTAAAGTCTGTGGTCATGTCAATGTGTCATCATATGTTGGGTTATGTGTCATTGTGGGATGATGAGAAAAATTCTAAAGTAATGATAAATAAGTTAAAGGAAAAAGGAAAAAGTAGTAATAAAAAAAGAAAAAATGGATGGTGATAATGAGAAAAGGATGTCTCAAGTCATGTTCAAAGATTTCCTTCTTTTTCCTTAAAAGTTTCTATAAATATGATCCAAATTTGTCTTTTTGTAAAAAATAGTGTCTTCCTACTCCTTAATAATTAGAACACAGAATCATCTTATATTATATAAACTGAATCATCTTTAAAACTCATTCTAAAAAAATAAATAAAATTATAATTAATAAAATTCTAATAAATAATTAAATAAAAATAACCCAATATGCTCTTTTAAACCATATAACATAAAATCTAAATTCTTCATAACATTCTTAAGGTTGCCTTTGATCAATGCCAAATCAAATCTGTCTTACCTGTCTTGAGTAATATTACATGATGTTAACAAATTCAAAGTGACAATTCATTACATTCCTTCTTGTCCCTATAGTGCTGTTCCTGATTCAGGTATCTATATCAATATGCAGAAGTTTGTCTGATTGGCTAATATATTCCATTTAATTTTACATTAATTATACAGTTTAGAATACTTTTTTAAAAAACAAAAACTAATCACAATAAAATAAAACAAAATATATAGAAGATTTCATTAGAGCTATAGGACTTCATAGCTAAAAATAAGATCTAATTCTTATTGGTTTAAAAAAATTAGCTTGTAATAATTTTTTAAAACCCAATAAAATCAACTTAATATAAAATTAATTTTTTAAATAAACAAGAATTAGATCTTATTTTTGACTATAAAGTTCTACAACTTTAATAAATCTTCTATATATTTTTTTATTTTATTATAGTTGGTTTTTGTTTGTTTAAAAAATACTCTAAATTGTATAAATAATGTAAAATTAAATTAAATTAATTAGCTAATTAGAAGAACTTCTGTCTATAAGCATTATATTTAGTAAATATATATATTGTTACACTATTGAATTATATATCATGTAGTTAAATATTTAATAAATCAAATATATTTTTGGTTTTATATAAATTTGTAATACAATATTTATTTGAGATCTAAGATTTAAAAAAACAAATATGAGTAGATGTAGTGTTTTGAAATAGTTAGTAAGTTGTTAACTTCCAAGTGACAAATCTAGTATTTAAATCTTATCTATAACAAAGTTTTAAAAACTATCTTTGCTGAACTTTTAAAAAATTTAACAATATTGTTATTATATAATTATTATATTATTAATATTATTATTTGGTATTATATAATGCATTGTAAAAATATAATTTTGTATTATTATTATACTATAAAAATATAAATATTATACTTATAAATATATAATAATAATATTAAAAAAATAAAAATAAATATATAATTTATTTTTTAATTTTTAATTTTATTATATAATTTATATATATAATTTATATTTTTATTATATTAATATAATATATAAATTAATTATAAAAGAAAATTAAATCATTTTAAAAATATAAATAATAAAAATTATGATAAATATGACAATAAAGACAAATATAACAAAGTTAAAGATGAATATAATAATAAAGACAGAGATGGATATAGTAATAAGAATAAAGATAGATATAGTAACAAAAATAGAAACAGATATAATAATGAAAATAAAAACAAATATAATGATAAAGAAAAAGATAGATATGATAATGAAGACAGATATGACAATGAAGACAAATATGATGACAAGATAAAAATAAATATAGAAATAAAACTGAAGATTAATATGCTAACAAATATGATGATAAAGACAAAAATAATAGTAAAACCAATGATTAAAATAGTCAAAAATATGATAACAAAAAGATAATAAAATAATGATGAAGGTATCAACAGAATCACCATCAGAGGTACTAATAGAAGCACCAACAAAGCACTAATTAAAGTAAAAACAAAAGAACATATTAATGTTAATGATTTAAACAAAAATACCAATAAGAAGATAACAATGTTAATAATGATAAAAGTGTAGCTACAATCTAAGGCAAAAAATAAGTAAATATTAATTAAAAGTTATCCTAAAATCAAAAATAAGAAAATAAATAACTACACTAAATTATTACTTATAATATTACTTAAAAATGATGTCTTACTATATAGAGTAAATCTTTACTGCAAATGAGATTTCTATTTAGTAATTCTATATAATTATTACTTAATGACTATAAATAAAGATAAAAATAAAACTTTACTTTAGCACTAAAAAAAATAAAAAACCATAGTAAAAATAGGTGATTCTTATATATGTACGAGTTGTAAAACATGATCTTAGAAGCACATGGCAAAGAATAATTTGTGTGATGCAGTAATGTAATTAATAGCTATGTTGATCATCTATGATGCAAATGACTTAATTATATTCAAAACTTTAAAAATGCAAAAGGCTTTTTAACTAAATATAAACTAAAAAAATAAATATATAATTAAATAGCTTTTAATGTATACTACAAAGTTATATCTTTTTTTGCTTACTATATTTCAGTTTTAATAGTAATTGCCAGATTTCAGCACATACACAATTACATGAAACTATCTAATTAGTGACTATATTTGTACATGATCAGACATAATTGGTTGCATATTGTGAGCCCGATTTTTGGGGTCACGGGTGCCCGAATCGGGGTGACGATCCTTACCCGATCCAAGGTCACGCGA